GTTTGAAGTGAGAAGTCAACTGCCGGTTAATAGACTTTTTTGCCGTATGAGTATACGTTGCCCAGGGTGCACCATGTGGAGGTAAGTCTATCGCACACCCCGCTTCACGTAACGTAGAAAACCCGATAATATACTGGACTCACACCTTCGAGTTGATTCCAGCGAAGGTAATTTTACTTTGAAATATAACCTTCTCAAATTCTTGGTTGTTTTGTATTACATATTATCGGTAATTATGTCTTGATAAAAGGTTCATATTATAATTCTCCTAAAAAACACCTTTATTCACCTGAAATATTATATGCTTCGAACGAATTTTACCATTGTTTCATATACTGAGGCACGCGGCTAAGCAACTGGGTTGTTGTGATGGCATTAAAGCTATATTTTGAAGACTCTAAAAGTATATTTTGACTTCTTAGTTCAACGAGGCGTAATTCAATGATATTCTAGTCCAAATTTTATTTAATTTCCTCAAATTTTTGAACTTAAAGTTATATTTTTAACACATCTTCGCAGTTAGTAAAAGAACTCGAAACATTCAACATTCATTGACTGATTTAATCGCATACTTTTATGCTTTTGCATAAGCATAACCATGCAGTGAGTAGAAAGAACGTAAAAGTACTTTAGACCATCAATTTATTCATGATACTCACTAAACTAAGCGAAAAATTGCTCATAAATCATTTAACTAAATCGATTCTGCCTTCCTTGTTCTTCTTCGGTGGGAAACAAGTCTATTATCAAATCTTGTTTTATATTGGAAGACAAATTTTGCAGAAGCTGGCTTGAAAGCGCAATTGGAGAAGACCCAAGTGCGGTGTCACGCCTATACCAATCGGAGTGTCCACAATGAAAAAGAGTCATGTGAAGCTCATACTGCTTTTGTGCATCAGCCTTTCCATTAGAATGTGTTTCATCTAAAATTGTAATAAACCACGACAGACAGAAATATAATTTAAGCAGAAAGAATGAATTTTCTTATTGCTTTGAATAAAAATCAATTAAAGGAAACAAGAAAAATTGTATTTTATAGGTTATAATGGATTGTGCATATAAAAGCACTTTTTTCACTATCCAATTAGAGCAACCGAAAATGTCCTTCGACAAAATTTTAAAACTTGAGGGCCTTAATAGGTGACAAATGAGATCAAAATGCTAGCATTTCATTCTGTATGTGATTAAACAACCATTATGTGAAGAAGTGTAAAAAATTGTAGCATTTATTGCTCAACGTATTTTAATTCACTTTAAGGATCTTTTCTATTCGAATGTAATCAACTAAAAGTCAAGTTTTATTTTAATATTATAAAGATCTGCAGTGAATTTATACATGAATAAGCCTTGATTAAACTTCAGAAATCCCCTAGTATGGACTGGCTCCTGAACTTACCCTAGTTACCTCAATAATGTCCGGGATACGGAACACATTACGTGGAATGCATTTTGGAGGTTGTCATTATTACGATGCATGCGGTAAGGTCCATGTAATGACTATTGAGTGTTGACAAGGGGAGAGGCCTCTGCACTTGTGACCTCATTTGCTTCCTAACGCGATCAGCATCACAGTCGCATAAGACTGCTTAGTTTAACCGTGCTAGGATTGTGTACTACGCTGATCTAGTAGTTTTGATTGCAGAAGGATTACACAGTAAATAGGAATATTATTAATAATTTAATTCTTCAAACTATCTTTGTCCTCGTACATAGTTTCCTTTCCCACACTGAGCTATCAAGTAAGCGTGAAAAATGTGCTGACATCAACACTTAAGAGTAGAAAACGTTCTCTGTTTCTTAAGAGCACATATAATCTCCGGCAACAAATACGATTTTCAATGACCAAGAGCATTGTGAATTTACATTGTCTCTAATGCACGTAAGATTTTTTTGCGATGCGAACCTATTTAGTATTTATATTTTATTTATATTTATAGCAAGGAAACCCTTCACCTGAGCAACTGTATAAAAACGAAATGGCGTATATTTCATTTCATTTTTTGTGCATTTCCGTTTTGAAGTTGTTGTTTAAGTTTTTAATTGGACGCTAACTCAACAAAGCTCATATTTATAGAGACGCTGTTTTGACTTGAGAGTATCATTTTCAGGGGCTAGCCCATATTCGCCCATTATCCCTATCACTACGCGTTACTTCTCACAAACTAGTAGTTATTCGAGGCAGAATTGTTACCAATTTGGTAGTCTCAATAATATGAAAATAAATTATGCTACCAGATAAAGTCTCCGAATTCCAAGTCCCAGAATGTTGGGCTGAGCTAAGATGAGGTGTACAGCAGCATTTAGACTGGACCGAAGGGAAGATAAACTGGTACCTCAGTGTGACCATTAACTAAATCCGAATGCATTGTGATCGTTAACTAATACTCAACTATTATTTTTAATGCTCTTGCCACCCATTTCAATCTTTCAATGATCGTATGAAATCTATGACCTTCCATATTTATTTGCTTTATCTATGTGAGGTGCCTTAAATAAAATCTGGTTCGATTATTTCATCCACAACTTAATTAATAGAGCAGGTTTGGAACCGTCACATCAATGGGGTAAAAAATAGATCTTCATAATGCATAGAAGTGTCATGTTTTGCAGAAATTAATTAACCTCGTTTTTAAACATTTCAAATTTTTAGTGCGTTTTGCAGATTTTACAAATGAATCTCACTGTCTTCAGGAATTATTTTGAAACCACATTATAAACAAACAACCAAACATCAAAATGTTGGAGTTGTAAGGCTAGGTAAGCCAAGTAAAATAGGGGAAAGTAATTTTAATTTATCCCACATACCACTCAATCCAAACGTGAGTTTGGGTACTTGAAGAATAAGTGTTTGGTCAAAATGAACGCTGTGAAAACCCTCAGCGATATCGGTTCTAACACTGCCTATTCCATCATAAAGTGAATGAAGCAAGTAACGAAAACCTTGCATTCTTGATTCAGAGTTTAATGCATAAGGAGGAAAAAAGCTCGATGTGGGAGGCTTCGGTCCTATAAGATAGTAAATGAAATGATTATCTTAATAATTAAATTAATTTGTCATAATTTTATTAGCACTTCGAATGGGCACTGATTATTGAAAGAATACTAATAATAATTAATTCCATCCTATTAGCATAATGTCGCATCAAGGACTCAAAATTTTAGTGAACTTTAACAATTGAGTAAAATTATGAGAAATTAACCGTGGAATTAGTTAGTATTCCGATTCGCGAGTATAACTTATTTTTATATTTTCCCATATTTTAATTATAACTACGTGGCTAAAGTTAGCATTTCATTTTAAATCCACCTTCCGAAGATGTAATGAGGGTATTTTAGAATACTGGAAACTTAATAAACGCATTAGTAAATGGCTTCAAGATATTTAGGTCTGAAAAACTCACCAACTGCCTTAAGTTCAGCCTCAACATAATATCTATTTGGTTTCAAGAAAGAAGAACCAGATGATTGATTCAAAGGAAGGTACTTCACTTCCTTGATATGAATTTTCAGGAGAATGGAAGCATCTGAATTTTCAGAGCTCTGAAGTCTCAAACTCATATATAGACGACCAACTGCCGATTTGGGTATTTTGATGCAATCATACATGATCTAAAAAGCGAAATAATATATTTACATGTCAAGTAATTTAGCGGTTTACTGAAATGAATAAAAAAGTAGGTTTTTCCTTAAGAACGCAATATAGTTCACTATTTCAGGTGCATATTAATCAAAATTTTACTCAATAAGATCGTATTACTCTATGTAACTATCTTTACAATTAAACGGAATCTTTTCAAATAAGAAAAACTCGACGTGTAATTATTTTGAAAATGATAAAAAACATAATTTTTCACTATTTGTGATTTCCAATAAAAATATCAGAGAAGTTAAATCTTAGAAGAAGACAATTCGTCGTTTGTTTGTTTTTCAGATTCAATAGTTAGGCTTGTATCAAAAGATACCGTACATGAAGTATTTTCGGCAGTTGACTTCTCACTTCAAACAACCATCACCCCCACTGTATGTCATATTCGACCCCTACCACTACTCATCTTACCCTTTCTGAGCCTTTGTGTCTGTTTCTTTTACATCTTTTAAACACCCTTCTATTCCCCCTCCTGAATTCTTATCACATTGATGTTCCTCCTCCCCTCTGTGAAGCCCGAAGTCTACTAAAGGGCTAATGATAACTCTCAGAACGCCTGCCATTTGTTATAGATAATTTCGCACTGCAAACCATTCAAGGAAAGTTTTTGTTCCCTTGAAGGAAGACCAAAATGTAAATAGCAATTAGACAACTGAAGCAGAAATATTAATAGTCTATACTAGAAGAATAAAGAGTTTCGTTATCACTCGCCATACTTTTTGGTCTTTTTCTGAGTTTTTATTCAATGATCCTTTTCCATCCTTCTTCAAACAGTTGCTTTTTGTCTTCTGAATTTGAGGAGATTTATTTTCCGATAACTCGTCTTTCTTCACTTGAAAATATTTTGGTACCCCTATAATAATAGGTAGACAACAGTCAATTTGTATTTGTAATTGAAAGGTCAGATTTTATAGAATAAAATTTTTCACACCAACTTGCGGATTTGGATTCACTACCGGAGAGTTATTTGAAATGGAAGGATTAATTTTGGGATGGCATTTGTGCAATGTTTGGGAGAAAGGATACCTTACGAACTCGGAATCATAAAGTCGAGTTGCTTCTGTGGATTCCTATTTGAAAACAAAGTGATATCCAAGTACATCAAAGGCAGGTGTGTTGAACAGGATGATTGCTGAACAAAGTATCTTACCTTTGCTTCTTTGTTAAACGGTCGCGTAATCCTGGTGAGTAAATTGGTTGTAAATTTATTGAATTTGGGTTGGATCACATCACGGTTTTTATCAAAGAGGATATCATTCTCCAGATCTGATTCAGGAGGTGAAATAAATAGACTGTTTTGATTAATATTTAGTAGATGGTCATCGCTAATTGATGCTTTCTTCAGGTGGTTTTGCTTTAATTTTCTCTTTGTTATTAAAAGCGCTGTCAATGTTGCTGTGAGAAAAAATAGGATGCCGATCAGCGATACAATAGCAATGGAGAGTGGAAACTTATATCCTGACCAAAAATGACTATGAATTGCTTTCTGAAGAGAAGATCTCGAAATCGTCAGCATGCCTAATTAAAAAGCCGAAGAAATGAGCCAAACACTAAAGGGTACGATGCACCTTCGAATTAAGTAATATAAATCAAATAAATCGATTTATAAGTTTGCACCCCAGCTAAAGCATGGCAAATTGTCACAATCATTGACACTTATATGAGCGTTTCAAGCTACCATGGAAAGATTAAAAATTTATTTATTTATATCAAATTGCAGGCGTTTTGATAGTTATCATTGGCACTTCAGTTGACTTCAGGCTTCACAGAGGGGAAGGAACATCAAAGAGAAAAAAAGTCGAGAGGGGGGGGGACAGAAGAGTGTTTCAAAGATGTAAAAGAGACAGACATAAAGGTAGAAAAAGGGTGAGGTGAGTACTGTGAAAGTAGTCGAATACGACATACAGTGGGGTGATTGTATTTTGAAGTCAGAAGTCAATTGTCAGTTAATAGACTTTTTTGCCGTATGAGTATACGTTGCCCAGGGTGCACCACGTGGAGGTGAGTCTATCGCACACCCCCCAAGATTAAAAATAAGGAATGTTAAAAATGCCTCATTTTATTCATGTGAAGTTTATTATTACTTCATACCACGGTTAGCAATTTAGCAAATCTAGAGGGCAAGCTACCATTCTAAATACTACTTAGAATATATAACCGATGACGGACATTAAATTAAACTTAACGGAAGGGATCTCGTAATTTTACTTATTAAACACTTAAGGAAATAACATTCTTAGCAGTAAAGAGTTAGGAGAAGACGAATTTAGGATCTTAGAACTTTATATGGTGATGTTCATTTGAAGCGAACGAATAATGTAATGACCTGAAGCAAATTTAAATATAAAATATAGGAAAGTTTGCATTTCATACAATATTTAGTCTAGTATTTATTTTAAAATGGAAAATAAGCAAATGTGCTTATGTCCTAAACAGAGAAGATTATTTGTTGTTAATAATTCCGCAAGTACTTTTAAGGCTGCTTATTTTCATGAAATTGAATAATTCAACTATTGATTAAATTAAAACTAATATGTAAATATTCAGTTCCTAAGATTTGAAAATGTTCTTTATCCTAGTTAACTTGAAGACGATCGATGTAGCTTGTAGGAAACACAACTTTAGCAAATCGAAAGAAGGGGGTTTGCGACCAATCAATGGCCAAAGTCATAACGTGGCAATCATATCCGAAAGTGTATATTATAATTCTATTCCCCGTCTATACACCACAGACAACCATAATATACATATTACACGACATATAACTGTTTTCTCTATGGCTTTGCAGCAGCTTAGCTAAGTTCGGGAGTCTTTCCAAATATAGGAGAAACTGCAATGGGGATTGCCGAGTGTAGTCAAGGCTTGTTAGTGTGGTAATCTGCTTCACGCTTATCATAATTGAATAAAGCGTAAATAAGCGCCTTTATATCAGACTAGAATTTGATGTCCGATTTTTATATTTAATTTGAATGGAGTTGCATTGACCACGCAAAAAATTGACCTAAATATTCCTCTAATCAATCCCAATGAGAACAAAAAAATGTGCTTGAAGTTTATCCTCAAAAATTAATTTTACTAAATTTTGAATTTCTGAAATCAAAATATTTGGGGAAAAAAGGGCTAAATATATTTAGAACATGAAAGTGAGGCGATGTTTCCATGTCCTTCAAGAACTGAGATGATAATTTGAGTTCTCTACTTCTAACTGATATGTGTGATGTTTACCCATTAATCAGAAATTCAGTGATAGATGCTAGCAGTCACTATGCAAAACATAGTTACAACTAAAAGAATTTATTGGTTTGTATGTTGCAAATGAAACAGTGTAGCGGGTTGATGCACCAATAAGTCTAGACTATACTCAGTAATCTCTATGACAGACTAGGCTTCCCAAACTAGCTATGCTATCACCAAGCTATAGAGGGAAGAGACGGACGATGAGGTATACGTTTATTCGGGATGTGACATACCGGCTATGTGTGTAGGATGGAAGCTTAGTCTTTATCAACATGGCGGGTTCGATAAAACAAACGGGCATTTCTGATTGGTTAATGTCTGTAAGTTAGTCGCACCCGATCTGTACACGTAGTGGCATGTGATTGGTAGCTAAGCGATGACGTGTCCCACAACAGAGTTGATTTCACTTCTTCATATCCACTGACAAGTAGAGCAGCAGATAATTCAAGGCACACACAATTATTCGAACGAGTAATTGCATAATCCAACCGATCATAGTTTTATTCGTAATGTATATAAAGCCCATTTGATCAAAAGCATAAATGAATATGCGTATTTCAAATACGATCTAGACATACAGACAATAAGCTTCGAGCGTTATCATCAACAAATGGAAGGTAAAAAAATAGAATGCCTTTAACATCAGAGCCATTAAGGAGTCACTAATGTCTTAATTTAGATTAGAAAGCAATTAAACTTATCTTCAGAAAGGAAATTTTGAATTCTATACGCTTTATTGACAAATATCTTGTAATCCAACTCCAATTCTTTGATCTCTGACGAAATTTAACATACAAAATTCATCAAGATTAGAGAGTACTCCTTCTATTGTTAACGGGATTTCCACAACATTTAGCCACTTCAAATTAAGGCTGGGATGGAAAAATGTTCCCCATTATATACCGCTATTCCCCTGAACTAAGGTCAAAATTTAGGCTAGTATGGTAAAGGACTAAGCTTTGAGGTCTGTTGGATGACAGACAGCAAATGAGCAATGGAAGAATATCGTTCCCAGATTTTACGACGGGGACAGAGGCCTTATCAATTCGATTTTCCACTGCGAGTGAAACTTTGGATGTGTATACCTTCCACCAACAGCATATAACTATTCAGAGTAGCCTAAGTCTTGTTCACTCAAGATGTTCTGGCATTCAACGAAATGCTATAATGTTTATTGATATTATAACGCAGTCTTTCAATCATTTGTAAACTAGCCGGTGTTTAATATGGCCGAGCTCTCTTGCTTCAAGTTTGTAAAAAATTGAATTTCCATTTTCTTTCCAAGTAACTTAATCTTAGTAGTATGCAAAATTTAATTTAAATCGATATTTTGGAAATCAAACAATAAAATTGCTATTTTATTGTGCAACATAAATCCATTTGAAGAAATTGATTATCTTCGCAAGTGCTCTTGCAAGAATTCCTGAGATTCGCTCTTATAAGAATCGTTTTAGCTGTCGGATTCATCTACGAAGTAAAAAAAGTTTTGCAATTTAAATCAATTTAGCAATTTATAAAATTGCACCAAAAGAATATAGGCTTATGGTAACTTGTCAAATTACTTTCCAAGCACCGTGGTTTTGACAGAACAGAATTGATTTGTCCATAATATAAAGGATTAAGTAGGAACATATGGGCCAAAGACAAGTTAAGGCTAAAGTTCCTATGTACCTGTTTTCTCCTGATGATAGGATACGCATAAATCGAGGTGATTAGCCATTCA